ATTATTACGGATTTGTATCGAACGTTAGTCAAATTTAACTCAACTCGTTTAATTAATTGTGTCGTGTCAAGTTGACCTATTTATTTCGTGTTATGTTCGTATTCATGTTGATCCACATAAATTTTGAATAAAAAATTTAACTATAATATTTTATTTTCACTTAATTGAATTTATGTTCATACATTTTCTGCGAACTAAAAATTAATTTATATAAATACAATAATAATAATACGTAAAAATATCTTTTTTTATATAATAATTATGTCAGTGCTTAATAAATAGTTACAAATAATTAACATTTTATGTCTATAATACTAGTTAAAGAAGCTAATTTCGTGTTACCATACAAACAAGAAAAAGAAGAAAATGTTTATTCTTAAATAAACGGGTTGATAGTGTCAATTTTAGGTTTGACGGATTGAACTGAATATGAACCGTTTATATTTCATGTTCATGTGTCAGCTCATTTTTGATTTCATGTTAATTTATAATCAAGTTTGTATTATAAAATTCATGTCATATCATCCTGTTGAGTCGAAAATTTTCACCCTTAGTTAAGATGAATTTTTTTTATTTATTTTTAAATTTATTTTAAAAAAATATATATACATATATGAAATTAATTTATGCATAATATATGTATATACCAAAGAATATATAAACGAATAAGATATATTTTAATACAAATAATTAATTTGCCGTCAACTTTTTTTTCCTATTTTGGAGGAATTGAATTTAGTGAGTTGGAAAGAAAACTCATCTATCCAATTTTTTATCCTTTCTATTTTCCTTATTTACCAAATATGATATAAGTATTATATTTTTTTAAGTACATCTAATTATGTCCACTCTATTATTTTTTTTAAAAAATATTATTGACATTTAATTTGATGATTTAATTTAGAGATCTAATCCAATATAACCATTAAATTAGAAGTGAGTTTTATCTAATGATTATATTAAATTAGGTTCTCGTAGCATTACTTTATTTTCTTATCATATCAATTAATACATACTCATATCTAAATGACTAACTAGGGGGTGTTCATATCTTGAATTGTCCACGAATCTTATTACCTAATTTAATAGTTGGCCCATCAGACCCGAACCTTATTCCTTCAAGAGAGGGTTTGGGTTTGGACTTGCATCAACTCAAAACATAGCCCACTAGTCTGTTTATAAAATTTGGGTTTTCTGGGTATGAGTATAATTTTTTAGATTTATTTGAGTAAAAGTATATGTATAAGTTGTTTCCTCTATTAAGTACAATTTTTATAAAATTTTTTGTGTTTAGGTATAAAATTTAAATGAATTAAAAATTTTTTTGCCTAAACACCCTCTCTTAAATTATGTTGTCATCATTGACAGTTATTTGAGGAAGCAAATATGTAAAGATTAACAATAGTAATGAGAGGTAAAATAGGGCATTAATGATCAAAACCCTTCTTCTTCGGCAATGAGATTTAATTAGAATGCCACAAATTATATGTGAATAAACACTAAATTTTTCCAAAAAAAAAAAAAAGAAGAGAATTGGTCAAGATGTTTTATTAGATATTATGTATCGTTCGTTGTTGGGATGTAAGAAAAAAATAACTTCTTTGTTTTTTTTAATGGGTGTAACTGTTTTTTAATGTGTGTAACTATTTTTTTTAATGAGTATAACTGTATTTTAATTTGTGTAACTATTTTTTAATGGGTGTAGCAATCACAATCTCAAGCAATTATTAAGACATGATGGTGTAGTGATATCGCGATACTAAATAGTGCAACTATTTAGTTTATGTAAACAACTAAATGACAAATTAGATTGATGTCATAATTAGTGTAATTATGTTGTTGTAATATTAATAAAAATATAGTAAGAGAAAATAGAGAGAAATAGACTTTTAGAAAAAAATATGGCCATATTTTACCTCTTATTATTTAATTTTAGTCAAAATATATGGAAGGAATACAAAAAATTTCAACCCATAGCTATTTATTGAAATGACAAAATTGTCATTTTTTAAAAATATGCACTTTAATCCAAATAAGATTTTGTGTTATATTTTTTCTCAAATTTGTAAATCAAATTAAGAAGGATCATTGGATTAGTGGGTCCCATCAATTTTTTTAAATGAGACTCATTAATCCAATAATTCTCCTTAATTTGAAATATAAATTTGAATTAGAAATTTAGTATATATATAATTACTCGGCGAAAAAAGTTAAAAGTGTACAGTTTATCATTATGTACGCTATTTCATATTTGTCGACCGGTCACATCGTGGTGAAAGTTTCTGCTGTATAGTGTTAGGAAATATGACCGGTTCACGTGAACAGCTCAGATTTCTTGAATGTACACAAACTCAGGGAGTAAGCTTCGGTACCGAAAACGTAAAAATGGGTAGTGTACCGAAAAGTTAAAAGAATCGAATGCCCACCACGTGTACGTTTTAAATTTTATAAAAACTTATAACCGTTTTTATCGGTTTCCATATAAATATTTTCGGTATAAACATGAAATAAAAATATACACTTTAAAAAATTTACAATTGAGATTATTGAGTGAACATGAACACGAACCCTATACACTTTAAAAAATTTAAACATGAACTCTTACATACTTTAAAAATAAGTGAACATGAACCTTTATACACTTTAAAAGTAAGTGAACATGAACCCTTTACATTTTAAAAAATTTAATCATGAACCCTATACACTTTAAAAATAAGTGATAATAGAAATTAAAATGATAATTATTTATTATATTTAAACATGAAATAAAAATATAAGAAAAAATTTACAATATTTGGGGTTATTGAGTGACATTAAATATACCATTTTAGATTAAGTTAAAAATATTAGGAGGTTAGATTAGATTATCTAAGTTCACCACTATTTTAAGTGATAATAGAAATTAAAATTAGTTTTAAAAAATGATAGTTATTTATCATATTTAAACCTGAAATAAAAATATAAGGAAAATTTTACAATATTTGGGTAAAATTGCCATTTGTTGGGGTTATATTTTGGGTTAAGTTAAAAATAGGGGTATAAGTGAAATTTATTGGACATATCTTGAGCGATCGAGATTAGCCAGCGAAATTATTTTGCAACTTGATCGCTACATACGCGATCGAGATTTTTGTTAGCGATCAAGATAAGAGATAACTCCAAATCCAAGTTGATCGCTCAAGACTCTCTCAACTCCCTTGTCTTCTATTCCCCCAAACTCCTCAAAACCCTAAATCAGCGATCAAACCCCAAATCTAACCCAAATGGGTGAAAAACCAACCTGATTGCATACCAAAACCCTAAATCACAACCATTTTTGGATCAACCACCTCCCAAATTGGTGAAAACCCAAACTGGTGAAAACCGAAAACCCCAAATCGGTGAAAACCCAAAACAATTGATTCTAGTCGTTGCTTTCTCTCGCTGTCTTCATCTCTCTCCGCTACTCATACTACACAGACTCTATGTTGGAACTCTCCGTTGCTCTGATTGATTCCAGGTACATGCTGAAACTATCTACTTCTCTCCCTCGCTCTCTCCTTCTACTTCTCTCTCCACTGCTTTTTTCTCTCTCTCCATTGCCACTCTCCTCTGCCTCTGTTTCTCTTCCAAACACTCACTTCACATATGTCCATCATGTGTTCGATCAAATGCTACAGAGGTGTTCCATACGCAGAGCACTCACCGTGCATTGTGCACACACTTGATGCACAGAAAGCACACACTATTTATCATAGAACACACATATATGAGAACTTAGTCGAAGCTTTAAAAAAAAGGAAGAAAGAAGGCAAAAATGGTGAAACATATGATTCAAAAGAACTTGAACAATGTTCACTTTATTAAAACAGAGAAATGAAAGTTTGAGTTGGTAAATCATTCAAGCCTTTAATTCAAAGATGGAGTCCCATACTCGCAGCCACTGCCATAGTCCATCAAATAATATATTTCAAATCGTTTCTTTTAGTTCTTTGATTTATTGTTTTGTATTGAATTTATTGCTTGATATCTATTCGTACTAACCTAAAAGTAGGGGTATTTTTTTCTTTTGCTTAATGGCTTGATTCATGGGCTGTTTTTGCCCTATAGTTTGTGTTCATTTTTTGCTTGATCACCCGAAATGGGTTGAATTCTTGGCTGATTAATTATTTTGAGTATTATATATGTGGTTGAGAATTATGGTTTTTGTAAATGACGGTTTATTGCTATTGCTCAAAAGTTGCTCAATTGTTAATTGTTATTGCTCAAAAGTAATAGATAATGTTCCATGTTATTGCAGATTTTTTTTCTTGTTACAACAAAGTATAATGACCAAGAAGTATAGGCCAAAAGTTGATACCAGTGAAAAAATGAAGAGGAAGGAGAGTTGTAACGAGGGAGGTCCCTCGAAGAAGAAGAAATGTAATCATCCTCCCTCCGTTGATCCGTCCTCAATAGTTAATCCCACCTCCACCAATCCAATTGATCCCATTGTTGATCCCACCTCCACCAATCCAGTTGATCTCTCATTCAATACATCAAGTTCATCCAACCCCAATCCCAATCCAGCAAGTTCATCCAACCCCAATCCAACAAGTTCACCGACCCTTCCTTCATAATGATACACTTTCTTGTCCATTCAATAATTCTAAGCACATACCTAAGTTGGAAGATGTTTATACAGAAATCAAGGGTATACCTAATAATTTTAGTGAGAGTGTTATTGATCCATCATTTTTTCAGCAACACCTAACTCCTAAATATAGGATTTTAAACCTTATAGTGGGGTACAATATTCGTCCAATTGCACATAATGCTGATTTTGGACTTGATCGAGCTTATCTCCTGTATGCCATTGGAACGGGTATGAGTATAGATCTACCTTGTTTGATAATTGATGAAATTATTTCAGCACATGGTACGAATGATAGTCGGAAATGTCTCTCATTTTCAATTTTGATTTCAAAGATTATGGAGGATTGTGGAGTTGTGATTCACTCAAGTGATGCTTATTCTACTCCATGAATCTAATTAATTGTGGGACAATAAAAAAGAGTTTGGGACAAGGGAAGAATAAGAAAACTCAGCCACAACAGAGTTTGGGGAAAGAGAAGAATAAGAAAACTCAGCCACAAGTTGAAATCCAGAATGAAGCTGCACCTGAGGATAATATTGCAGCCCAAGCTGTCTCAAATTCTTCCACAAGTGGTCTTCCTTCATTGGATGAACGATTGTCTATATATGCATCTGTGATGATACGAATGGGAAGAATGATGGAGGAATTTGGAAATACTCAAAATGCATTAAAGGAGTCTCTCAAGGTGATTGATAGTAGGTTGGATAAAATAGATAGTAGGTGGGATAGAGTTGAGTATTTTTTTATGAAAAGCAAAGAAATACCTAGGAAGTGAGAATTATATGTAATTGTAGTTTTTGGTTGTTGATACAATAGTTGAAGTAGTAGTAGTGAAATGTGATGAAACAAATATATGCATATGGATTTCCATCTCTCTCTCTCTCAGTTTTTGTGCATTATTCACTAAAGACATTTCTTATTATTCAGTGAAAGGTGGTGATAATATTATCTATTTTTCACTTTGTGATGATGAGGAAATATCCTACAATGTACAAGGAATTAATGTGATTGTGCTGTATTGTTTCCTTTGTTGTATATAATACCCGTGTTATTATTTTTAACCCTTTTGTTTTGGGGATTATGGTGGATTTGAGGAGTCGTGAGAGAGACAAAGAACGGTCCAGTTTTTAAAGGATCATGTAAAGAATTCAATTTTAAACGCCAAGGTTGATCTTCTCAGTACAATTTATTTCTGGTGCTTGGTGTTGTCACCATTGTGTCTAGCAATGAGACTGAAACAAGGAACAAATTGTCATTAATGTTCTTGTTTGGAATTATGTAATATATTTTTTAGTCAGGTATGTTAAGGGCTTTACGGGTTGTGCTTGGCATTTGCTGAGTCTTTTGGAACAAATTCAGTTTTTGTTGAGCAGATTACAGTTTACTTTGGATCATGTTGATAGAGAAGCTGATTTTCCAGTTTACTGAATTTTCAAGCTGATTATACAGTTTCAGGCTGAGTATACAGTTTACTTTGGATCATGGATTATACAGTTTATTGAATTTTCTGTAAGTAGCCAGCTTCCAGTGCTGTCAGGTAGAGGCTGCAGGATCAAAGAGGTCTTCGTTTGCGCACTAAGATTGCTATGGTATTTGATGATAAAGGTTGAATAGGTGTTTGCTGGGGTGTTGTATGCAGTGAACTGGAGTTGGTATCCTGTTGCTGATGAGCTATTCTGTTGGGCTTAGTATCCTGGAGCTGCTGAGTTACTGAACTAGTGTTGCTGATTGCTGGGCTAGTCTTGGAGCTGTTGAGCTGCTTCTGTAGAGCCTCTGATGCTGCAAAGCTGTGGTGTGGGTTGATTCTGAGCTGTCAATATCCTGCTGGATTTGGAGGGTGGAAGCTAAAAAGTTACTGCTTGGCGTATTTTCAGCTGGTTCAGGAAAATGTACCAATTTTATCTGATTTTTGTCTCATAATTTGCAACAGAAAATCCGTTACAAAAACAGAAAATCTATTTTTGTCGTTTTGTTTTCTGTAAACAGTTACTTTTTTATTTTGGTAAAAACAGTGTCTGTAGTAATATGTTCCTCAAAAGTGGTAATCCTCTCTAAAAAATGATAATATTACTCAAAAAAGTGATAATTTTGCTTCAAATAATGGGTAATCTTATAGAAAAAGGTGGTATTCTTATCAAATACAAGTGATAATGTTACACACAAAAATGTTGTAATCTTAACCACCCCAAAAAGTGGTAATGTTAATAAAAAAAGTGGTAATATTAACAAAAACAGTGGTAATGTTAACCAAAAAAGTGGTACTCTCAACAAAAAATCCATGATAATGTTAACCAAAACAATATTAACCAAAAAAGTGGTAGTGCTAACCTAATCAATGGTAATGTTAACCGAAATTATGGTACTCTTAACCAAAAAAGTAGTACTCTTAACAAAAAAATAGTGGTACACCTAACCTAATAAATGATAATGTTAAACAAAATAGTGGTAATGTAAACCAAAAAAGTTGTAATCTTAACTTAAACAGCGGTAATGTTAATCAAAAAAGTGATACTCTTAACCAAAAAAATGGTAATGTTAACCAAAAAAATGGTACTTTTAACTAGTGGTAATGTTAACCAAAAAAGTGGTACTCTTAACTAAAAAAATGATAATATTAACAAAAAAAGTGGTACTCTTAATCAAAAAAGTGGTAATGTTAAGCAAAAAAATGGTACTCTTAACCAGTGGTAATGTTAACTAAAAAAGTGGTAATATTAAAAAAAAAAGTGGTACTCTTAACCAAAAAAATGGTACTCTTAACCAAAAAAATAGTAATATTAACAAAAAAAAATGGTACTCTTAATAAAAATGATAATGTTAACCAAAACAATGGTAATTTTTCCCTCAAAAGTGGTAATCTTACCTCAAATAATTGGTAATCTTACCAAATAAAAGTGATAATGTTACAACCAAAAAGTTGTGGGAATGCACAATAAAACATATTTCGTTCGGCATTGGTGCATGAAAAATCATGGCTATGGCTTAGATTGTTATAATAACTCATAATAGTAGAAATTAACAAGCAATACTCACCAAAGCAACAAAAAAGCGAAGAGGGAAATATGTTTTAACAAGCAATACTCAACTCATAATATGTTTTTCCTGCCCTCTTCTTCGTCCAAAAAAGCGAAAAAAAAAAAACTTGGAATGGAGAATGTAAATTAAACCTTTTCATTCAAAGTTGCAAAAAAATTAAAATTTCTTCAACCCATCTTGCTCCATGATCTTGGTGCCCACTGTGATAGCATAAATTGATGGTTAGATGACAATGGTGGAAAAACAAAATTTGTGGGATAAAATTTGTAATTTTTGTAATTACCTCCATTGAAACTAGTGTTGATGTACTGTGATTGAATGGTAGAATCAAAGCTTGACAGCCCATCCTAAAATAACAAGGAATGAGTACATATGAAAAAAAAAATATAAACATCCAAAGAGTATTATATGAACCTATAGTTGAGGATACCCTCGTTGACAAAGGGAATGCAACGATCATCCTCTTTCAATGATGGCATATATTGTTGCGATCCACCATGCTGTGAAAAAGACATGTGGGGTGGTTGGTCTGATCCACTATGTTGTGAAAAAGGAATGTCCTGTGGTGGCTGTGATCCAACTGGTTGTGAAAAGGGCATATCCTCGAATGGATCATTGGATTGAGACGTCAAGAGTGGACATTTTCTAACAGTATGGCCAGTGCCCTTGCATTTACTACATCTTCGCGGGTTGATTGGAATATTCTTTTGTGCACGACTATGATTACCTTTGGTTTTCACAATCTTTGGATCATTCACACCGAATTGTGTAGTCGTCACATTTGCATCGTGTTTGCCAAGTGACTCATGACGGGCTTTTAGAAGAGAAGTTCTTTGTTGCACCATACTCCTCAGGTCATTTGAGTCTGAGAGCGAATGTGAACCGTAATAACACATTTGGCTGCACATTGACATAAGTCCAGCATAACGCGTAGGAATTGACACATTCGGCTGCACGTTACCACATTCATGTGCACATTTATACCTAGATTTTGCTTTAATGGTCCACCTGTCCATCACAATGGTATGAGGAAACTCTTGTATGTGCTCATACTTCATGACCGCGATCATGTGAGAGCATGGAATCCCAAAAGACTCAAATTTCATGCAATTGCAATTAAACGCATCAATTTGAGGATAATATCGCACAATCCACCGTGATTTTGGTTTTGTGAATCGAGACAAATAGTAACTCTGATGACTTTCAATCTCGATCTTATCCACTACAAAAAATACAGCTTCTTCTCGTATCTTATCACGGACCTTGAAGAAAATCTTTCTGGTATATAGAGCAGCAGCATGCTCCTCTAAGCATCTCAGTGCAGTCTGCATCACTGGCCTCGAATGTTCCGACTCAAAGTCATCATTGGCCTCACACTCCCTGATCCTTGCCAAGCCCTTGTCATAATGCCTAACAAACTTGAATAATCGTTGGCTTGTTTTTAGAAAGCGTTTCAGGTAGGCATTCATACTCTCCGATCGTTGTGTGCTTTTTAAGCCGACAAAAAATTTTCCTCGCAAGTACGCTTCGGCCCATTTGAATCGCTTTGCATAAACTTCCGCTATCCAATTGTTTGTCTCCAGTCCAAATGATTCGACCATTGATTTCCACTTATTTTCAAATTCTTCCGGAGTGCATCGAGCACACATGCACCTCTTAAATGCATTGACAAAATTTTCAGCATTTATATTTGTGAAGGCATTTCTTGACAAATGCCATCTACATAAGCGATGCGTCGCTTGAGGAAATACTCTTTCAATTGCATCAACTATTGCTTTATCTCCATCCGTAATAACAGATACAGGTATCTTGTTTTTCATTGCATGAAGAAAGGTATTCAATACCCACACATATGTATCAATCGTCTCGTCTGAAAGTAATGCGCACCCAAAGATAGTTGTAGTGTTATGGTGGTTGACACCGGAAAATATCACAAACGGCTTCTTATAGGCATTCGTTCGATATGTAGTATCAAACGTCACCACCTCACCAAAGCACTTGTAATCTAGTCGAGATGTCGAATCAGCCCAAAACAAGCAATTCAACGAATTGTCATCGGCGACAGAATACTTGAAATAGAATTGTGGGTCCAACTCTTCCTTTGCGCTCAAGTAGGCTAATGCGCCCTCTGCATCACCGTCTCTCAACTCTTCTCTATGGTAGGATGTCATGTCATTGTAGAGATCCTTTGTGGTAAACCCAACATTTTGATATCCTCCAGATTGTTGCAACATGAAATCCCTAATATGACTTGTACGCATACCAACATTGCGCAATGATATAGCTTGTGCTCTGTCGGGGCTCTTGACACGCCTGTGTGATCGGAGAAATGGAACACCACATTGTGAAACCAATTCATGGTTGTGGTCCATTACAAACTCTTTTACAACCCATTTTTGTGTCTTCCTATCAAACTTCACTCGAAATGTTGCCTTGCATCCAAGTCGTGTTAACCCTCGAGGTTCCCTTGATCGCTCTACGCGTTCTGCATTCTTTGCTGACCGATACCCTTCTCTGGAACAAACCCACCGTCTTGAAATTGGCATGTTATTCTTGTCATGCTTTAGGTCATCCTTACGAACACTAAAACTCGCATATCTACCATATGTGTTATAAAATTGTCCGGCATCTTCATGTGATATAAATGTCATTGCAAGGACTTCTGTAGATGTTAAATCTTCCCTCATTGCAATGTCTTCAATTGATGTTAACTCGTCCTTGCTTGCAATGGCTTCATTGGATGCTAACTCATCCTTGCTTTTCTGATGGAAGTCCATGTGCTGATATTCATCATTTTCAAAATCATGCAATATGTCATCTGCTATATCACTATTTAAGTCTATAAGAACCTGCTTTCCTTTTTCCATTTGTTTCGATTATACCTAAGCAAAAAAAATTAACAATCTCATGTTGAAGAAATGACTACTATTTTTGCCTATCAAAATAAGAAGATAAGAGTTGTGGACATAACACAACTAATAACAAACATCTATGGAGAAAAGATCATTAAATACTTACCTTGTTTGATTTGAATCTTTCAATACCTTGCATTCCACTTAATTGCATGGATGATCAAGAAAAGATCGTTAAATATGTTGGATTGAAGTTAGATGGGTGATGAAATAATGGAGGTTTTAAGAGTGATGAAGAAACGCATGCTATAATTGGTGATTGACTTCAGTTTGTTATTGTGTGAAGAAAATCATAGTAGTTGGAACAGTGGTTTTACATTTACTTCACAATTAAATGCCATTTATTACACAAAAATTATATTACCTACTTAAAAACAATTTTTTTTTACAACTATTATGTCCAAATTAGAACATCTTGGGCGGATTGCAAATTTTGTCTGATGTTCAAAGATTCGCAGTATATTATAATCATTGTATTCTTATGTTCATAACATGTTAATTTAAAAATTGTCATACATAACTTTTTAATTTATTATGGATTTTTGTATACAAAATGGACTTTAATAAAGTTTAAAAGTTAGATGAATAAAAATTTAGTATTCTATTTAATATAACTAAATTTTAGTTGGATATAATATAATCTAAAATTAGTCTTGATTTGATATTAAATTAAATAGAAATTTAGTTTTAATTTAAATAAATATTATTTCAATATTTCGAAATTAAATCTCATTTTGTATACTTATAGTCCATTAATTTAAAAAGCAATTTAGTGAATGTGTTGAAGCTAAATGTCCATTAATTGGATGATGTATGTTTTGGGGGTGGGGAATCACATTCAACTTATCCTATATGTTTTACTATATTCAACTTCCCACTTTTTGACTTCACAGAATTAAAAAATTAAAGTTCATTCAACATTTTCTCCATTATCGTTCTTTAAAAGTGGGAGTAATAAGTTTAGCACATATTTGGGGTAAGATTATCACTCTTTTGGTTAATATTACAATTATTAAGGTAACAAAGTCACTAATTTTTGGTTAATATTACAACTTGGGGTATGTTTACCCCTTATTTGGTAAAGATAGAAGAACACATAATTGAATGTTAATTTGATTACAAAACATATTTTTTTTACATCTCATAATTGAATGTTAATTTGATTAAATTAAATCTCATTTTGTATACTTTTCATAGTCATACGAAATATAAGTGTCGATAGATTTAACTTCTAATGTGTTTTATTATATTCATGAGATCGAATATTAACTTATTGTTATGTTTATTTTTTTGGGAAAATTTACCAGATCTAGTGAGTAAGGTTACCACTTTTAGGGTAAGTGTACCACATTTTGGTTAATATTTATTTGCAATTTATGGGGATAATTTTACTACTTTTGTGTAAAATTACAATTTTTTTTAAAAAGATTACCACTATTTTGAAAAATGATAACATAAATTGGGGTTAGGTTTAGCAAATTTTGTGGGTAAGATTACTATTTTTTGGTTAATATTACAATTATTAAAGTGTAAGGTCACCAATTTTTAGATAATATTAGGTACATTTACCACTTTATTATTTTTGGTCAGGTATGTTTAAAATTTATTTATTTTTATTTGTTTTATGGTAGGATTTTATAGATATTTTTGTAGTTAAATATGTTACGAATTTTTTTTTACTAGTAACACTTTTTTTATTAAACGATTTATTCAAAAAGTTTTAAATAATTGTTTCAAATTTTTATTTTTTCGGAGGCTTCCCCAACACGCTATACACGTCCCCCAAAAACCAACTCTTCACTTCACTTCACTTCTCTCTCTTCTCAGACCCCTCCCTTCCCTTGCCCAACTCCATGCCTGAGACTCTCTCTCTCTCTCTCTCCGTCTCTCTATCTTTCTCTTTCTCTATCTCGCAGCACACACGAATCGACAGCAACCTTCCACCCTTCTCTCTCCGAAACTCTCCTCTGCTTCCTTTTTTTTTTTTTATCTTGTTTCTGAGGTACTTTTTTACAGTTTCTTTTTAATTTATGTTGTTTAATCTACTTTTCATTGTTTAATCATATCCTGATCTGGGTTATTCTCACTGCTTATGCCATAGATTTGATATAGTATGCGTTTTTGGATTATTTTTGTTTTTGGCTTTTCGGTTATTGATTATGTTTCTTTTAAAACTAATGTTTGTTTATTATTTCTCTATTTTGATTCTTATAATCATATTTATTGGGTTAGATATATTTTTTTTACTGTAGACAGTTTCTTGAGCCTAATCATCTCGTAGATGAACACATTCTGTTCGAGCAAATTATTGTTAATTTTTTATGTTAATTGTTCGAGCAAATTATACTATACATTTTTTTTAAACAAAAAAGTGGTAATCTTAAACAAACAAGTGGTGATGTATCCAAAAAAAAAATGGTACAAGAGGGCAAAAAGTGGTACTCTTACAAAAAAAATGGTAATGTTAACCAAAAAAGTGATACTCTTAACAAAAAAATGATAATGTCGCATGGTTTTACTTCAAAGTCGCTCTTTTTGGTATGTGTGTATATTTTCAATATGGTAAATTTTTGTTATGATTTGTCGGTAATTAATTTGTTCATTCATATTATTATTATTTTTTTTGGTTTTTTGCAGCTTTAGACATATAGAGGAGCTAATATTGCAGTTTTACACAAGTAGGTATATTGCAACTTCGCATTAACATCTACTTACACTAACATCATTTACATGTACTTACACTAACCCATTAATGTAGCACTCACGCAGTCCACACAACATTGTTCTACCACTAACAAAGAACAATGGAGAGAACACACCAAACCTTGTTCTACCAATAACACAAATTTATCTTTTCTTCTCATTGTATGAAACAACCACCGGTATATACAGTATAAATTGAAACTATTAGACTGATTTACACTGACACATATTAGATGCAATCAATCAGATTTGTAAGTCCATTCATCTCCACCAAGCAATGAGCTTTCATTGAAGCCTTTATCTTTTATCCTACTTGCCCCTCATATTTTTTTCCCTCTCCATGTACATTAGTCATTGGTTTTTTTTTTCCAATAACATACATTGTTGTTAGTAGGTTTACAAAACAATACATTGATTTTTTTTGCATGTATGCAAAGTATGTGTTTGTAGTTTAGTGGTTAAACACAGTAGAGTTCAATAACACACAATTATAATAGCACGTCTTAGGGTGATATTAGCTTTTTCTTTTTTCTTTTATAAATTGTATTAATGTTTTTTGCTCACTAGTTACATTTGTCATGAGACTTCTAACATTTTATAAACCCACAACATTTGGCAGGTCATCAAGTTTGTACACAATCAGTTGAACTATTAAAATGTAAGTATCGCTGCATCGTAATTTTTTTTAAAAATTCATTTATATTTTATTGTGTTAACATCTGTAACTGCATGTTACAGGGCGAAGAAGAGCGTAGGAAAAGCACAAGAAAAGCCAGAGCTTATAAAACGCCAAAAAACTAAAAAGGTTACTGACAATCTTAAACTTTCAACTATTTCAATTTTTTTTTCACTAACTTAAACTTGTAAAACATTTTTTAGGATGTTCTTCGAACTCGATGCTCGCCTTCATTATTGGCTAAAACAATTGAAGAATTTAGTGATAGTCAAAAGGAAGGTGTTAAGGAAATGGGATTGGGGGGTTTATTAAGTCTGAAAATCCATTGGTTCAAAAGGGGTTTATGTAAATGGATATTGAGCAGATTTGACCCCGATACACATAGTCTGAACGTGTACAACCAATCTTACATTTTTACTCCAGTGGATGTTAAGTGGATCTTGGGGTTACATTATGGAGGGGCTAAATTACAGACGACTGGATCCCCAGAATTAATCTAGGATCTTAAAAAATCAATTTTTGATGGTAATAATGAGTTGTTGTTGCATGACATAAGGTCTAGGCTTGAGAAATTAAAAGAAGATTCTGACGAATTTCGGCGTTTGTTTGTTCTATTTGCTGTGGGGAGATTTCTGTGCCCCACAATGAAGGCTACAGTCAATGCCTCCCTCCTCCACATGCTTTTGGACGTCTCATCTTTAGGGGGTGGGAATTGGGCAAAATTTGTGTTTGACTCCATCATTGAGGGGGTACAACATTACAAGTCCAGACAATAAGTTTATGTCAATGGTTGCATTTTGTCCTCATGGTAACATATTTATATTTGGTTAATGTTGGTTACCAAAGTCTTTTATGCACTTTTATTTGTATTAATCGTATGTTGTGTGTCATAAATTTTCTACCTTGAGTGTGCGACACCAATAGGGGAGACTATGGTCCCATTGGTGTCTCGACCAACCCCACGCATTGGATCATGGGGTGATGAAGATATAAGAAATCGCCTACTTTTACTGAATAAGTTAGGAGGTTTCAAAAATGACAAAGGTAAATCAGTGTTATTGCCGCACAACAATATAATTTTTTGTAAGTTTATTTATGAAATGGAACTATCTGTTACTTATCACATACGATATTTGGCATGCTTGAATTAGATTAAAGTCGCATTTGCTGAGTTGCGCTCTGATCCACCAGAAGTCAATGAAGCCAGCAGAGGTCCAACGCACTTTTGTCAACAAGTGTATTATTCAGCAACTACCCTTAACAATTGTATTTCCAATGGTGTTTTTTCAGTTAAACAAACATTTGCCATTTGCTTAGGAAATTGAAGCAAGGCTTACGAGATTAGAGGTGGATCAGGTCTCCATCAAGCAAGCCATGCGGGAGGAGTCGGAGAAAGTGTATAAGGAGCTTAACGCAATGAAGAATTTTATACAAGAGATTTCCGACCGATTGGAAAAATTTTGTGAAAAGTCGAAAGAAAAAGTCCTCTTAGGTGATAGTGGAGAGGCGAGTGTACCGAGAGTTTCCTCCATTTACTGTTTCGGGAATTATCTATTGTTTTATACACTTTTAATTT